GTTTGATTATCTAATTGTAATGCATGTGATGCTTTGAGGAGTTGCCTTTCACATACACTACCTGCATGTAACATGTGTTGCTTTGTATCAATTTCGAAGTGTTAAATACAAGAAATAGGAACGAATTTCATTTAATTGTCATTTGTAACATCTTACTTTCATTTTCCGCTAGACAATATTGTATTTGTAATTTTTGTCTTATTGATATATTGTATTTTGAAAAATCTACTCACCTATAACATTGTATTTTCATCCATTTTTAAAGGGACCTTATAAAATACGCACATTACCTTTCATGGACCGTGCTTAGCACGGGCCATAAAAGTTTACTAGTATATATATATATATATATATATATATATATATATATATTATATATATATATATATATATTATATATATATATATATAAAGAGAGAGAGGGGTTATTGTCCCATAAACTTTTGATAATTCAATGCACATCAACCGAAATATAAGTTTGTATGTTATGTCCTATCATGAGATGCAAATTTAATAGTTATGAAGTTGGGTCCTTTGACCCATCTAAGTGTTGAAAATTATAAATTATATATTGAAAAAAATAGGTGAGAGATGATGCCTTATAAATAGAAAGATGAGAAAACTTTGAAGTATATCTATATCATGCTTGACGGCTATGACTTAGTTAATAAGTTAAAAGCCGATTAACGGTTGAGCCTTTTCATTCTAAAGTGGACAATTTTTTTTACGAATTTAATACATATATTTATAAAAACCGTTTTTTTAAAGGCCTAAACGGTCCGATTGAACTAGTTTTTTGATAAAACAGTTTGTTCCCATTTGTTTGCTAACAAACATAATCTAATCGGTTCCTAGTTCAATCAGTTAAATCGGCTAGCGAGATCCGATTTTCAAAACCATGCTTGTAATTGTCTTGATGAATGTAATTAGAAAACCACATAATGTTTTGTTTGAAACTCAGCATTATCGATCTTACTCCAAAAGTTAGGTGTGATTTCCGGGGTCTTTCACTAAAAGTAAAGGACCCTTGATGCAATTCATCAAACATGTGGGGTGATTGGTATTTACCCAAAATTTATTCTTTTAAGAAGATTCCTAATATAAAAAGTTCGTTATACGCACACAATTAGGCGCGTGGTCTGAACTGTTACACAGCTTCCTGCCTTAACGCTCCTGATTGGCTGTCGATTGACATGTCAACAGCTGAGTAACACATGTCATACAATATGAATATGAATATGGTGAGTTTGGTAGGTGGACAGATTACGTTGTATTTATTATTCTGCAATGGGCCCTCTAACTTAATTAATAGTTCGGCCCACTTACGGGATTATACTATTACATCTAATGTGTATTTCTAATAATTTAATGTGAAAAATTTCGTCTTTTGATTATATTATGTAACATATACATAACTTTGAACATAGAATGGTTACAAAATCGTGTTGCATATATTTGTAAAATGATGAAAATATTTAATATGTTTATTTGGAATTAGATTTTAAATGAATGGGAACATTATGCAAATAGTTAAAAATATGATCGGTCTATAGTAATTTTGAAGGCTCTGTGCAAAAAATAACGATGAGCCCCTAAAATTCGAGATTAGCAACAAATTAGTAATGCACTAGGATGTATAGCAATTAGTGACGGAGTAGCAACAGATTAGTAACAAATAAATGACTAAATCGTGTCGGATTAAAATTCCGGGTCCCCTTATGACATGGGTCATATATTGTCGCACATCCAATATATGATTAGGGTCGGGCTTGCACTTACAAATGAAAACCCAAAATTGATTATATTTTGATACGATTCGTCCATTAAATATACCAACAAGTTTGTGCTACTTAATTTTTATTTATTTCAATTACAAATGACATGGACATAGTTACATCCATATCTACCAAGCAATAATAAAATTAGGAAGGAGTTACTTGTCGTTGTCGCCTTACTTTAATTTCCTAAGAAATTAAGAATGTGTAATTATTTTGTTATGCAATCATAAATTAAGAAGAAAAATTCCCCATATAAAAATTAATTTGTAAATTTTTACTCTTTTTCTTATATTTCCTAATTTGCTAACTATCCCAAGATATGTATTTTCATATATTTTCATACAATGTCATAAAAAGTAAATTCTAAACATATAGCTAATTGTGAGCATCCACGTGTACAACCATAAAATTCATTTCCTACTCCTAGTGTATGTAATGTCAAAAAATAAAAGTAAAAATAGTAATGACAGCACATTTATGTGAAGTTCTTGTAATGGTACTGCATACCTAGGTTAGAAATTTTGCATAGGGATGATAAATGGTTGTTGGTCCTCGGATCCGGGTCAAATCAAGATGGAAGTAAAAAAAAAACCTTTTTCCAAGCTAAATTTCACAAGGAATGGCCCTTTCGTCCCGATCTAATCAACCCTCTTTTTAAGTCCGTCTCTTTTGATGATTAAGACTTGATGAAGAGAACAACGACCCTAAGGTTTAAGTCTTCATAACTTTCAGACATGTACAAGACTAGTCCCCCAACTTTATCATTTTGCAAAGTGCACCATAGGTGGATTTTTCTTAATAATTTAGATCCTTAAGTTTCTAGTTTGGCCCCAAATGTTAAAATAGTATTACAACATAAGTCCAAAATCCAGTTAAAAGGGGTAAAGTCACGATTAAACAAATCAACTCCAAATTTTCGAAAAGTCAACTCTTAATTTCCTATTCTTATTGTTTAAAATCTAACCTTTTAATTAAATATGGTACCATATAGATGATCGTTGCATATCATTATCAATCAAGTTTGTTATACAAAATCCAAAATCAATCTTATAAATGTATTGATAATCCAATATCACTAAATATAATTGGTTGACTATCTAATCTTATACACTTAATGGTTTGAGTTGTCATTATTTGCTCTTCAGTTTTTTTTTCCGGTTTTCCCCTTGCTCGGCCTATGGTTGCACCATATCTCTAATGGTTATATCAAAGTAAAAGTAGAACAACGATCACCACTTGAACATTATGTTGAAGACATTTCTTGTCTTTAATATATTTTTGATCTCATCATAAATTATCAACTTAAAAGGAAGTGATTATGTTCCCTCTTTTTTAAAGGATTCCAAGGATGGGTCGGCCCATTCTAACTTCATCTATGAGGAGCCCAGTATAAAGATGCACACTCCTCCATGTGAAATATTTCATCTTCTTTGAAGCTTTTATATAGTAGTCTGACCTTTTTCCTTCTCCCGCTGCATCTCCCTCTCTTCGTCGAGCCTTTCCTTTAATGGTTGGAAGAAACATTCCCTTATCTGAATTTGGTGGGCATTCTTTTTGGTCTGACTCAAATACAAATAAGAAGTGGTCACTTTCAATAATTATATTAAAATTCATTTTTATCTTTTTAACATTTCCACAATGTATCTATAAATACATATAAACTTTATGAGATGGTCATTTTCGGAAAAGGTTTAAAGTGTGGTAACATTTTGTACATAACTGGAAGACAAATTTATTATTCAAACATGAAGGTTATCTTTTTTTTTTTTTTTTTTTTTTTTTTTTTTTTAATTACTTAAAACTTAAACGTTAAAGCGCTATAATAGACATACCAAATTGCCAACTTCCATTTTTATGTGGACTTATATATTTATATAAATAAAGGGAGCTGATACTTCCAAGACATTTTTTAATACATCCACGGACATTTAAAGGAAAATGACAATTATGCCCTTTAAAAGATAATTTATTATTCAAAGTTCAGAGAGTAAATCAAACGGTCTCTTATTATTTCTCGATAATCGGAGATCGCTTCGAAAAGGAAAATGACGTAAATTCTTTTTCTTTGGTCTCTCAATCTCCCATCCAAATTGAAAATTACCAAGAATCTCCCTCCCTCCTCTCGTATCAACCATGGGGTTTAAAGAAGAAGAAGTGACGACATCCACTTGAGATCTACTCATCGCTTCACGAGGATGCAACAATCGTCGTTCACTGTTCACACCTTTTGTTTATGCTTAAGGATGCTGCCGTCGGCTATTAAACTGCTTCACGAGGCTACAACAATCGCCGAAGAAATTCTTTCAGGTGGTGCAAAATACATTCGTAGAGGTAGAAAAGGAAGGAAAGAAGAAAGCGCCTAACCAGATCGCCAGAGAAATTCTTTCCTTCTTCACTTATAAGAACTTCTTAGTGTTAGATAAAGAAAAAATAATCATGTAATCCATCACAAGAAGAAAGGAATTCCTTTGAGTGTATGGTGGTTTTCCTTTTATTGTATTTTTCGAGTTGAGGCAATATGCAACAGGTTCGAAGGCACGATTGTTTCGAGCATAGCGAAACGATTTTGCTCGCGTTTTGCACTTGTATCAGCCTTGCAAGTGTGGCCCTCATGCTTACCATCACCGTTACAAACGTCGGCAACAACTGGTTCGCGTAAGTCTCTCTTTCCATCTTCATAGCTATCTTCCTTTTTGTGAACAGACGATCTGAAATGGAGAATTGGAACAGACCAACAGTGGAGCGTATTTTGTGAAGCGGGGATCATGAACAGAGTAGATTACGGTGAAAATAATGGTGGCGGAAGATGGTACTTTATTGAAGATTATGGTTCAAGGGGATGACCAACAAATTGAATACATGAGGAAGGAGGTGCAGGCTAAATATTGCCGGAAAAGAATCCGAGATATGTGAGAGTTGTGGTTCAAGCATTTGCTGAAGATTGCAACATCGGAAATGGACTTACGTGTGCGTACTGCATAATTGTTCGTTTGGTATAATTGTTGTGCTACAAATCAGCACTGCCCTTGAATAATTAATTGTACTGCCCTTGAATAATTAATTGTACTCTAAATATAAATGATGGACATAATTGTCATTTCACTTTAAAATTCAGTGGATGTATCAAAAAGATCCGTGGAAGTATCACCTCCCATAAATAAATTCTAAACTTACCGAAATAATAGAATAATGATTACATGAACATCCACAACCAACGTTAAATGGAGCTTGAAAAGTGGATAGAAAGGATTCAATGCATTTACCCTTACAACCAAATAGAACTTACGTTATTAACCTTCACTACTTCTCATTATATATACAACTAGAACAACACCGAGTACATTGATTGATTTTTTTAAATTATGGAAAGAAATAAATAGTATCTATGTAATCTCCTTGCAATTTAAGTCATGATGTTATCTGATTTTCTTGTTAGAAGCAGATAGAACAATCTCCTCCTCTCTCCTCCTCTTCATATTTACAATTACACCCAAAATACTGCACGGGAGTCGTGTTTTAAGGGTTTCAAAGTAAGTAAGTTCTCTCATCTGTGAACCTGAAAGTTACAATCAATAATGCATCCTTAATCATGCATGACTATGTTTGACATGAATTTGATAAGAACGATGGTCCACTGTCAATGGGACAAAAACTTCACATTTAAAATGTGAGATAGTCTTTTTCATCGTTATCATATATCATAGAAAATAGCCTTACAAAGCTTAAACAATAAACTCTAAACCCTCAAAATTAGCTCTAAAAAGCTTAAACATAAACCCTAATGCCTAAAGTTTATCAGCATACCTAAATTGTCCACTTTAAACCTCTTCTGAGAATAATGAGCATCCTCTTGCTTTCTCTTGAATCTGAAAGGATTACTTAAAAATGGTTTCCCGCTTCCCTTATCGACATCTACAAAGAAACCAATTAGCCTCATTTCAATTCCTTTAAAAACCAACAGAAAGTGGCAAAACGAAGGAATCCATTGAAAACTTTACCCATATCTTTGAGCTTAGTTTTCTTGCTTGAGTTCGACCCATATCCGCAATTCATTGTACTAGGAATTTCATTTACCGAATCATTTCCTCCTGAAAACACATAAAACTTAATCCAATCACCCATTTCTAAACCTAGAGATCGATATCAATCTAAACATACACACAGAGCACTGATTATATACACATACTATATGTTTGATCTCAAAAGTCACAATTAATCAGGCGGCCTGTTAATTTTTCGACTTATTTCATATGTTCAAAGCCTAGACATCGATGCATTATACATACATATATGATATATATATGTAGATACTAGATATAGATTGAGGGAGGGAGATGCTTAACGGCTTACTTTTGGAACCGGATTTGGATAGCTTGCCATCGACAACAAGAGCGCCGGAACCAGTAGTTCCCGTTGAAAGTCCTCGCGAGGAGAAAAAGCTTATTAAGGATTTCCAGGTGACGGAGGAGGCAATAAGATCGACTCCTCTACTTATGAAGTGACCGTTTAACATTAACGTCGCCGGCTCCAGGCCGAACGTACGGGCAATAGAACCGAGGTCGATCCTTTGTTCGTCTTGCGCCACCACCTGCACCGCCTTTGATATCGATGGGCAAAACAGCTTTACCGTTCTCTTGCTCTCCTCAGACATGTCTCTGTTTTGCGGGTTATCAGGGCTTCTGGAAGTGTCTAACAACGAATCCAACCTATCAACGATTATATAGGACAAATGGTGCACCATTAGTTTGTACGGTACAAATATGAAATGGCTGCTAGATAAAATGTCGTTTTACATTTGCATTTTAGGGCTAGTCTAAAATAAACAAAAATCATATAAAGGGTTGTAATATATTTTTTAATTTTTACACATTTAGTCAATGACTTTTTTTTCGTCAATATTTTCCCCTTCAACTTGTTAAACTGTACACATTTAGTCATTATGACCGGTTACTCCAGATTAGTGGTAAAATGACTTAATAGGGTAATATATTTCTCACTTTGTACACATTTAGTACTTAATATTTTTGTACACATTTAGTCATTAATATATTTTTTTTTGTTGCAAAATAAGTCATTTTTGTTTTTGTACTTATTCAGTATTTATGAATGATTTCTTTAGGTTTTTCTCACGACATCTTACGTGGGATAGCCATATGGTGGTGGGATAGGTTGAGGTAGTTGTGTTATATGTTGTAGGCCAAGATACCTGGTGCGGGTCGGCTGTAAGTCGTAGGCACGGAGGCTCGAGAAGAACGGTTGGGTTTAGGGGTGTAAGTGAGTCGAGCTACTCGGGATCGACTCGTTAAAAGCTCGACTCGAGATCGAATTAAACGAGCCCGAGCCGAGCTCGAGCCTAAATGTGAGGCTCGTTTATTAAACGAGCTCGAGCCGAGCTTCAGTTAGTGGGCTCGCGAGCCTAAATGAGCCTAAACGAGCATATATATATATATAATATATATATATATATATATATATATATAGATATATATATATATATATATATATATATATATATATATATATATATATGTGTGTGTGTGTGTGTGTGTGTGTGCGAGCCTAAATGAGCCTAAACGAGCATATATATATATATATATATATATATATATATATCTATATATATATATATAGGCTCGTTTAAGCTCGTTTAGGCTCGCGAGCTCACTAAATTGTTCACTAGCCGAGCTCGAGCTTCATTTTAAGGCTCGAATCGAGCTCGAGCCTCTTCAAAATTAAACGAGCCGAGCTCGAGCTTGGTTAGGCTCGGGTTCGGCTCGGCTCATTTACACCCCTAGTTGGGTTAAGGCGGCATGTCACACCCCCGAACCAGAACGGCGAAAACGTCCGGGGGTTGAGTGACTTCATCTTGTAATACCATCACAGTGTATATAATTGAATCACGACAACATCATCATCACACATACAATAATACAACCATCATTGTTTTCATCAGTGTCTTGGTTTACAATATTACATTCCCAAAATATAAGTGTACGATGATAACAAAAATACATCAAAATCCATGAGTTCTTGAAGGCCAACCTGCTTAACGATTTACTTATAATACAAGTTATTTTGAAAATGGTCAACATATATAATGTTGGTGGGTTCATAAGCATATTTGTATGAAAAGTTTGTATCATTTTATAAACACCAGACAATCCGATATTTTCTGTAAAGAGAGATAAATGGTTTGAATGCTTTGTATCAAATCTTGTATTAAAGCACGTGTGTTTCTGTTTTGAAAATGTATAAAGAATGTATTTCAGAATTCCTATGTTTTCTGTTGTAAGTAGAAGGTAATGTATAATGGTAAGTTTTCCTAGAAAATCCGATATTTTCTGCCTGTAAAAGTATTGTGGTCTTAAAATCCAAAGACCGTAGAATGGTGTTTGTATAGTATCGCAATTGTATAACTGCTTATGTATTCCGTAAATTTTACAGTGGAGTTAATTTCTATGTGAGTCGTTATAACCATACTTGATATGACGGAATTGCCTGTCATGACGTTTTTCAGGCGTCAACTTGTTTAAGGTAAGACATTTGTCACCCTAGACTGGCCTAGTCTAGCTGTAGCGAACAACTCAGGTGCAGGGCTGTCAACCCCGTATAGATCTATACACAAACTCTCGCTCTCCTTCCAGGAGACTCTGGTTATAACTACATGACTAAAGGTTGTACACTAGATAGGTGCGAATGAAAGAACGTGTCTCACAAGAACCTTAACTATGTTTACGCGAATATTGTATCACACTATGTAACGCAGTAAATAATGTTTCCGTGTATGTTTTAAGTTTACAATGACCAATAAGCATGTAAATGAGCTACAAAGGCCCAATAAACATGCAATGTATATTCCAGGCCCAATAATCATGTAAATAGACCACTAAGGCCCAATAAACATGTAATGTATATTCCAGGCCCAATATGCATGTAAATGGACCACTAAGGCCCAATAAACATGTAAACGGACCACTAAGACCCAATAAACATGTAATGTATATTCCAGGCCCATTTAAAGTGAAAATGACGTATTTAGTCCTTTTGTTATTACGTTGTTTGTTTTAGCTCAATTATTTACCAAAATAACATAAAAAGCTCACTTTTTGTAATGATGTCCTTTTTTGGCCCATTAAGCCGAAAAATTATAATTTAGGCCCATTTTTGGTAAAAATGACACGTTAGGTCCCTTAAGACCAAAAGTTTACATTTAGGGGCTTACTTTAAATAAAATAACATTTTTAGCCCACTTTTTGTTAAAATTACATTTTCGGCCCAATTTGATGAAACTTAACATTTACGGCCCAAAAGTATAGAAATTTACCTTTTCAGCCAAAATTTAAAAGATTGACATTTTCAGCCTCTTTTTAACCGAAATTTATATTTTTGGCTCAAATTTGTTTAAAATGACAATTTAATCCACAAGAATAAAAAATCTACAAATTTAGCCCAATGAAACCGTGAAGGCCCAAAGTTAAGCCCATTTTGTGAAAATTAACATGTTTGGCCCTTTTAAAACCGTAAATACCTTTCAACACCCATTCTTATATAAAAATGACTCATTTGGTCCTTGAAAAACCGTGAATGCCCTAAAGGCTTCACCTTTTTGGTTTATTAGTAAAAAATGGTCCCTTAAACGGTTTTGTTTAGTTTTCTAGTGTTCCACAACATGTTTACTCCTTTCACTCCATAGTAAGTTGTATAATGTGTGTGAGTTTACAAACATCACCAAGTTTTGGTAGAGTTTTCGAGATTTATGAAGTTTCATCACATAATCACCACAAATAACATAGAAACACACATAAACATACTTAAACACATAGATCTAATACAAAGCAGCTTGTATTCTCCCCCAAAACATAGTAAAAACCGAAAATAGGGGGTATGAACTCACTTTGGGGTGTTGGATTCGGTTTTGGTGAAGAGTTGAAGGAGTTTTCGGCCTTAGCAAGTTCCTTGGAGAGATTTTCGAACTCTAGGAGGTTCTAAGAGCATGAATCACGAAATAGAGTGTTAAAAGAAATAAGTTTAACATAAACATGAAGTTAAACTTCTTGAGTGGAAGTAGCTTACCAAGATGATGGTCTTTGATGAAGTTTTCTTGAACACACACACAAGCACATACGAATTTGGAGAGGAAAGGAAGGGATCTTGCTTGGTGTTCTAGAAAGGATTTTTAGTGAGTTTGAGAGTGAAATGAAGGTGGTGGTGGGTATTTCTTATGGCCGAGAGTTATGAAGAGAAGAGAGAGATGATTAGGTTTGGTTAATACATGGTGGTTTAGAGGGTAGGTGCTTAGATACATGTGAGATATATTACATAGATTACCACTAAGTAAAGATGAGGTGTCAAAGGTTTTAATTCAAAAAAAATTTCTTCTTTCTTTTTCTTTTCTTATTAAAACCGAGAATGGAGGGTAGAAAGGAGAAAATAATAAGTGTTGGGCCGATATGGAAAATCAATTGAATTTGTGTAGCCCAAAATAATTTTTTCGGCCCATTGGGCCCTCTCATGAGTTCACGGCCCAAAAGGGGTAAAAACAATGAGTTTTCGGCCCATTATAATTATTTATGTGGTTTTTGGCCCAATAAGGCCCATGAAAATGAAGTGAGACATTTTAGGCCCAATAAGGCCCATAAAAGTCTTATGACCCAAAATGCTATAGTTTAATGAATGTGGGTCAAACTAGTGCCCAAATGAAGTATTTTAGCCCAAAATAATCAAGTTGTGGTTTTATTGGCCCATTAGGCCCAATAAATGATTCCTGGTCCAATAAAGGTTTGAACCGGAAAATTAGGGTTACAACCTAAAACTGAGTGAATATTTTGAGTTAGATTTAGGGCTTCATGAGTGAATTTTGATTCGAATAGTTGTTTTTGAATGAGTAATATGTATAACCTTATACTTGAAGCTATAAGATACATCAAGAGTTGATTACCATAAGACAAAATTTCCTAGCCCACAATTGCTAGTTGTGACACGACATGCCGACAAACCCTGGGTATTCCAGTCTGATGACTGATTGGACCTATTGCATGTTGGCATTCAAGTCCGATGACTGATTGGGCCAAGGTATTCCAATCTGATGAGTGTGGGCCCGTTACGCATGATAATGTGTTTGTTGTATCGGGTATTTTGGGGAAAACTCACTAAACTTTGTGCTTACCAAGTTGTTTATGTTTTGGGGAAAACTCACTAGATTTGCCCGGCCCGGGCCTGCAGTCTACCTGGTCCGCCCATGGTGTCTTGGCCTACTGCACACAGCAGGACCTGCCTCAACCCTTTCCCCAAATCAACAAACATGTGCACATACAAGTAAACATGCAGATCTAACAGATCACTAACATGGCAACCATCCTATAACCAGGATACCGATCTAACCGATCTCTAGCATAGCAACCATCCTAAACCAGGATGAAATCTAACATAGCAACCATCCTAAAACAGGATGAAATCTAGCATAGTAGCGACATAGCAATCATCCTATGCCAGGATGTAATCTAACATAACAATATCATAACGACCATCCTAACCCAGGATGTAAATCAAAAAGGGTCGGCCTTGGTGCCGTAGACCCTGTTGATATAGTGAGGAGAACTCACCTCGCAACTGTCGAATGAAACTAGAAAGCTCAACCCTCGGATCACCAACACGAACTCCACCACCTATAGTTGCCATAAATCCCTTTTTTCATAAATTCCCAAATTACCAAAATACCCTCAAAAGTCAACTGGTCAGCTC